TGGTATAGAAGCGAAAGACTAATCGAACCGTCTAGTAGCTGGTTCCCTCCGAAGTTTCCCTCAGGATAGCTGGAGCTGTTGAACAGTTTTATCGGGTAAACCGAATGATTAGAGGCCTCGGGGATGAAACACCCTCGACGTATTCTCAAACTTTAAATAGGTAAGATTTCGGGGTTGCTTAAACGAACCCCGAGGATCAATGAAAGCTCCATGTGGGCAATTTTTGGTAAGCAGAACTGGCGATGCAGGATGAACAGAAAGTCGAGCTATGGTGCCAAACTGCGCGCTAACCCAGACACCACAAAGGGTGTTGATTGATATAGACAACAGAACGGTAGAAATGGAAGTCGAAATTCGCTAAGGAGTGTGTAACAACTCACCTGCCGAATCAATCAGCCCCGAAAATGGATGGCGATGAAGAGCGCGACCTATGCTCAGCCGTCGCGGCGATTTTGACGGCGCGACTAGTAAGAGGGCGCGGGGCCTGCTGCGAGGCCTGGAGCGTGAGCCTAGGTGAAGCGGGTCCCGATGCAGATCTTGGTGGTAGTAGCAAATATTCAAATGAGAACTTTGAAGACCGAAGTGGAGAAGGGTTCCATGTCAACAGCGCTTGGACATGGGTCAATCGGCCCTAAGAGATGTGGAAACCTTGTATCAAGGGCGCACTGTGCGCCGCACATCGAAAGGGGGTCGGGTTAATATTCCCGAACCGGGTTGTGGAGGTGGATGGTAACGTAAGCAGCTCTAGAGATGCCGGCGGGGGCCGTGGGGAGGGTTCTCTTTCCTTCTTGACGGCCTTTCACCCTGGAATAGGATGAACCGTAGATAGGGTGCAGCGCCCGGCAAAGCACCGCGCGTCCTTTGGTGTCCAGCGCGGCCCCGACGGCCCTTGAATATCTGGAGCTACGGGTACCTCTCACGCCCGGCCGTACTCATAACCGCATCAGGTCTCCTAGGTGAGCAGCCTCTGCTCAAAGGAAGAATGTAGGTAAGGGAAGTCGGCAATATGGATCCGTAACCTTGGGAAAAGGATTGGCTCTGAAGGCTGGGCTTAGGGGTCTCCCCCTCGATGTCGTTGGCTGCCGGTGGTCTGCCCGAGCTGCTCCCGCGGCGAGGGCGGAGCCCGCATGCTAGTGTGCCGACGGGCGTAGAATGTCTTATGTCCCCACCTCTCGGGTGGGGCCGTGGGACTCTCCCTAAGCATCAGAACTGGTGCGGACAAGGGGAATCCGATTGTTTATTTAAAACAAAGCATTGCGATGGTCCCAACGGATGTTGACGCACTGTAATTTCTGGCTAGTGCTCTGAATGTCAGTCAAAGTGAAGAGATTCAACCAAGCGCGGGTAAACAGCGGGAGTAACTATGAATCTCTTAAGGTAGCCAAATGCCTCGTCATCTAATTAGTGACGCGTATGAATGGATTAACGAGATTCCCATTGTCCCTACCTACCATCCTGCGAAACCACAGCCAAGGGAACGGGCTTGGAAGAATCGGCGGGGAAAGAAGACCCTATTGAGCTTGAGTCTAGTTCGACTCTGTGAAATTACGTGAGAGTTGTAGAACAAGTGGGAGCCTTTCGGCGCAAGTGAAATACCACTACTTTTAACGTTATTTTACTTATTTCATGAGGTGGAGCCGAGGCTCTGCCCCTGCTTCTTGATCCAAGGGGCAGGCCCTCGTGGCCTGTCCGATCCAAGCGAAATACATTGTCAGGTGGGGAGTTTGGAAGGGGCGGCACATCTGTTAGAAGATAACGCAGGTGTCCTACGATAAGCTCAACGAGAACAGAAATCTCKTGTGGAGCAAAAGGGCAAAAGCTCATTTGATTTTGATTTCCAGTACAAATACAAACTGTGAGAGCATGGCCTATGGATCCTTTAGCATTTCAGGACTTGAAGCTAGAGGTGTCAGAAAAGTTACCACACGGATAACAGCCTTGTGGCAGCCAAGCGTTCATAGCGACGTTGCTTTTTGATCCTTCGATATCGGCTCTTCCTATCATTGTGAAGCAGAATTCACCAAGTGTTG